ATAATTTCTTTAAGGATTAATAAAATATTCCGATTTTGATGATTTTAATTATTCCTGATGTTCTTGTGGGAGATCTTGAGAAGCACCCCCATATCTTCTTGGAGGTTTGGTGTGCCCAGAAAAAGCTCTAAAAGTTGAAGGTTTCACATAAATACCACAAAATTTAAGTGACTAGAGAGGTCACAATATTTAAGATCCACACAATATTAATAATAACCACTACTGTGAATGCTAAAAAAAAAAAAAACCCAAAACAAAACAAAACAAAAAACTGTTAAAATAAAAAAACATCAAGTCAGTCGATGTGTAAGAAATAATTTCTTATTCAAACTGTGACTGTGAGTGACAGCTCACCTGTCTTAGGTGTAGAGAAACAGATATACTGACTTACAGTGATCCTCTCTGAATAATGCAGTAGTAACTGTAGCTGCAGCTGCTGCGCCACAGTGTGAACTTATGTAAATGTTTCACTTCGGAGAGGCACCTCTGGGTCCTGTGAAGCTGCGGGGATTTAATGAACGTAAAACTCCGTTAGTCTGCTTCACTGCTAAACCGCTTCATGATGTCACACTGACACATCTGTGCACATCTGCCAAATCAAACACATGAGCTGTATGCTGGGCTCTGGCTGAACTTTATGTTGAGACTAAACAAGCTTGTTTTCCCATTGAAGTCCAGATTTTAGTTTTGGTCTCATCAAGCATGTGATTGAATAGAGAAAGTTTTCCATGAGCCATAAACTGAGAGCTGGACATCCTGGTTTATAAGCACATCACACATCACATCACTGGTGGACAAAAGGGCAAAAGAATAAGATCATAAATATGAAATGAGTTTTTAGTGCCAGCATGAAGAGGCTGGTGTGATCCATTTTCTCATTAGAGGATCTTTGCCCTTCCTCTTCCTCCTCTCCTCCTCTCTCTCTCTCTGACTGAAAATAGATCCAGCTGGGTTAGGCTTTGGCGATCAGCGGCTCGCGTTTCCACCACATTTTCCTCCACAATAAGCGGACAGTAACGACTTTAAAGCGAACCGGAGGATTTACCGCCGTCTCTTCGGGCTCCACCTCGCTCCCGTCCCAGGCTCCGTGCTGTCCGTGCAGCTTTCACATAAATATTTCACACACCGTTTCGCTGTGGTTGCTGCCTCCGCCGCTGAAGTGATGTCTGTCGCGGGGTTGAAGAAGCAGTTCCATAAAGCCACCCAGGTAAGAAGAAGCGAGAGACCCGCTTCCTGTTTCCCTTCATGTGTCTGTACATTTCTCTGCGGAAAAAAACAAACAAACCTGTGGACGCACATAAATCCACTCATATCAACAAAAACACGTTTAGTCTTTAATGAAATCACGTTTATTCCGTTAAAAGCTGCGAGTTAGTGTTAAAAATCTACATTTTACCTCATTCAGATGTTTTTAAATTTGTTTTTGTGTAAAGAACTGTCTGATTATTTTCCTCAGATAAAAACGAGATTTGTGTGTAAACTATTCAGATTTCTCGCGATGTTATGTGTGAATTAAAAGCGGGGTATGCCCCCCTCAAACACACACACACACACTGAGAGGTTTGCATGTAATGTTATGTAACACTGTGTGAGCTGAAAGTGTGTGTGTGTGCAGCTGATTGGCTGTTGATCCACGCAACAGGGAATTCCCTCCTTCCTCCTTCACATCCCTCCATCATCATCATCTTCTTCTTCCGCCATCTCTCCATCCTCTTCATCTTCCTTCATCCTTTTTTAAAAAATCTATATACCTCTAAAATACAAACTTCCTTCATCATCCTCATCACCCTCTTCCTTCTCCTTCATCCTTCCATTCTTCCTCCACACTTTCTTCGCCTCTTCGTGTTATTGTTATCCATCCCTCCTCTATAACGCTGCTTCATCTTTCTCCTTCTTGTCCTCCTTCTATCATCTTTTCCATCTTTCACACCATCATATCTCCACCCATCCCTCCTTTTCTCTCTGTGCCTCTTGCATCACCTCCTTCTCCTGATCTCTCCTCTGTTTCCTTCCATCCACACGCTTCTTTCTTATCCATCCTTCCATCCACACTCTGTTTTCCTTCCTATCCCTCCATCTTTTTCTTCTTGCTCCAATCCCTCTATCACTCCATCTTTCCCATCTTCCCATCCTGTCTCCTTCTCCACACGCTTCTTTTTCTTTTTATCCATCCATTACCAACCCAACATCTTTTAGCTTTAGACACCTGAACATCCCCTCTGCTTCTTTTTCTTCTTTCTCTTTTTACTTTTAAATCTGTTTTTCAGTCCTCCCTTCATCTTTTCCTCCACTCTTCCTCATCCTCCTGTTCTTTGAGACGTTCCTCAATCTCTTCTCAATTCTCCCCCTCCTTGTGCTATTTTTCTGTCTTTTAACATCCCCTCATCCACCCTCTGATCATCATTTTAATCCATGTTTCCTTTATTCTTTCTTCCTCCTACACTCATCCTCTGGTCCTAGATTTCTTCACCATCGATCCTTCTGTTTAATCTTTTTTCTTTTTTTCCGATCATCATGCCTCCATTTTTCATTTTACACTTCACATCCACCTCCTACCGCCCTCCATCATCTGTCCATCATTACAGCGTAATCATATCGATTTCAGTCTCATTAATGATTAGGATTTATTTTTAACACTTGCTGACATGTTTTTGTTTGGATGCTTTTGGGGGAACCGCTTTAACCTTTCAGCCTGTTTTCTGGTGGTTGAATCTGAATGTGAGATGAATACAAAGAGTGAAGCACAAACAAACAGACAGACAGAATCTGTATGACCCGGCGTCTGTCCGTCCGGCCTCCTCCCCACAGGGTTCCTCGCTCATCATGTCGGCTGTGGAGTGATGTCGGTCGTGCTGGCAGCTCTGTGAGGCTGCAGATGGAAAAGTGGCAGGACTTTGAGCTGAATGGTCATGTGTGTGAAAAATAGTAAGGGACAGGAGGAGGGGGGGACTCGGGTTCCTCATATTGAAGTTTGTTAGGGCTGCAATTATTCATCAAGTAATTTGATTAAATAAATTCTTGACCCAAATTCTTTGCTTCAGTGCTTAGTTTAACGCATGGCTCTGTTGCACCCTGATGTAATAAACTATGTAAACTAGAGTGTTTCACCTACATTTGAGACTAAAAACAGACCTGCAATAGATATGTATTTAGGAGTAGCGTATGATTAAAAAGTTAAACAACATCAAGGCCACAGTGCCCCAAATTTCAGGCCGAGTGAAGGAAAACATCCAAAACATCAGCGCTGTTCCTGCACTCACCTTTTACATTTTCAGTCCTTCATTAAATCACCTGATCAACAAACTCCAACATGAAGAAAAGCAAACTTTTTACTGCTCCATCCACCACCGTTTGTTTTATGCAGCGAAAAATCAGCAGTAAGCCTCCAGAAGTTTTATTAAAATATACAAAACTGTTAACTTAGTCACACTGGTTTAATTAGACAGCTTGCTGAAGGCTGACAGCAGCTGTCCTGTTTTACATGGAAGTGAACAGAGCTGAGTCTAAGAAGGGTGTATTGCAAAGCTTTCATAACATTTTTCAGATTGAAAGTGAAACAATATCAAATTGGACACTGTCTGTTGGACACCGAATTATTATTAATTATTAACATCTACACCATTTTTCAGCAGCACAAAAAAGTTGCCTTCCATTAAAAGGGAGTTTTACCTTCCCACTTTCGCCAAAGTGCTTGCTAATATGATTGTTGTTGTTTTTTCTGTATGTATTATTGTAGGGTCTACCTTACAATATAAGTCGCCTTAAGGTGACTGTTGTTGTGATTTGCCGCTAAATAAAACTGAAATAAAATTCAATTAATGTCAGAAAACCTTAAAAATAGACAGTAAAGGTAAATTTTTATGCCTTAGTTCAGATTGTTTATTTATCTTATTATATTTGATTTGACCTTTGACTGTACTTGAGATTTTTTTAATATATTTTTCCATTTAAGAAAATGTTTTCTTTAAAAAAAATAAAAATTGAATATGGTGCGTAAATACAGTCAAAGGGTTTAGTTATTTTGTTTTTTGAGATGTTGGTTGCAGTTAAATGTTTAAAAATTGCGATTTCTAAAATGGAAACCAATAAGCAGTTCATTTTGAAAGACCAGTTTTTTCTCTCTTGAATATTTACTATTGCTCAGTAATAAGACAAAAAATAGTTTTCATCTGATTACTTGATTAATTGGTGGAATAATCAATAGATTACTCGATTGCTAAAATAAACGATAGCTGCAGCCCTAGAGCCCAAGCAACAAGCCTCCACTTGAGGCTGTGTCTATGTTTAGAGCTTGGTTACAAAAACCGTGTTAGCCCCTGTGGATGGTTTCACTTTCATAATAACTGTGCTTCCATAGCTCCTGCATTTGGAAACTGAAGAACAGGGTGGGGCTCTTAATTGACAGCTAGCTCACCTGAACTAATTAAATCGTGGAAGTGGACCTCTCCACTACATCTGTGCTGTTGGTGCCATTTTAATGGAATTACATAACAAATTTCCTCCACTGTGTGGTTCACACCATCAGTTCTAGTATTTTATTAATCTGTAGTTATTATTAGTGTTCATTTATTGGTGGGGCTTGCTCATAAGCTCACCAAGCTTGCTGATAACTACACCACGCTTTAAGGTTGGGGCCCAATCTTCTTCCCTTCACCTCCAACTAGTCACGGCTGTTCCTCCCTGCACCTGGTTCAGCTGGAGGGTTCTTCCTGTTAAAAGGGAGTTTTTCTTTCCTACTGTCACCACAGCATTTGGTCAAAGGGGCCGATGTGATTGTTTGGGTTTTTCTCTGTTTTCTCGGTATTATTGTAGAATCCTTGCAATAAAGTGTTTGACCCTGTGAAAGTAAAGCAAATTATAAGGTTGTGTTGCGGGATAAAGATCTTGGGGAGCAAAGATGGTCAGATTGATTTGCCATTAGCTCTCAAGTAACTGTGGGGGGTTTTCAGCTTGTTATTATGAATGCATTCATTTCCTGTTCTCAGAATTGTTAGATTAATTATTTTAGTTCAAGATTCCAGATTCAATGTGCCTTGATACCATTCATGTCAACACCTGTCCATTTAAACAATCCCTGCAGACCTGGGCTCGTACTGTTTCCTCTTTGACATTAATGAATGTGTGTAGAGTGTCTTCATTGATCCAGAGTTAGAGAAAACAGAAGGAAGTGTGGTTTGTTTTTTAATCTGGTTTGACTTTAAATTACAGTTTAATTAACAAGTACACTTAACCCTTCTCCACAGCCCTCCTCAGGGACAGTGGTTGGTTATTGATTATTGGCGATCTCGCAGCAGGATGACGGCAGGAGCAGGTCAACAAACCCGAGTATCCAGTTGTACCTTCAGTTGTACGGGTCGATTGAGGCTCAGGAGGTGAAGCTGGAAGGTCGGAGTTATAATAACCCAGCTCCTCTAGTCAAAGTGTCATCGGGAAACAAGCTGAACAACAAATTGCTTAGCGTGTGCTTGTCACTGGAGCGCTTCCCCTTTTCATTGAATGCTTGTGGTTTGTACCTTTCAGAGGCCAGTCTTTAACCTCCACTGACAGTGTTGCACACTACAAAAATGGACTTTGTGAAAAATGTTGCAGAATTTCTATGCATAGTACCAATTAGTATTTTTTTTTTTTGTGAGTGGGGAAAGACCACAGTTGCACAGTGCATTTCTAGTCTTACTCAAAGTGGTCAAACAACTTCTAACTTGTCTATAAATTAAAAGGACTTCCTCTCTTACTGCTGCTTTTACCACTCTTACTAATGCAGCTGATGCCCCTGCTGCTCCTATACTTATTAAAACAGCTCTTATTCTGATTATTTTGCAAGAAATATTAACAGCTAAGTGTCTGCAGAGAGTCACTGTAAGACACTTTTACTGCTGTAGCTGGTAGTGGTGCTATAAACACTCGGATAGTCACGCGCTGTTAAGGTTCATAAATTGGAGACATCGCAGACGATTACCAGAGAGGAAAGAAGAGGAAATAAAGTTGTGACACACAAATTACTCTTATCTTTGCTCTTCTTTGGTAAATTAATGTGTGTCTGTGCTTGTCTGGGCCTCCCACTGTTCTTAAAGAGAGTCGAAATCAATGAAAATGTTATTAATATGACATTTTCATGCAGTAATCTGACCCCGAGGGCTTCACTAATGTCATTAAAAAGTGTAAAAAATAAAATAGGAGGAAGAGAGAGAGGAACAAAAACAGCCGATC